GCACACCGACACTCTGAAAGAACCATCACTTTTACTTTGGCAGAAGCTGTGTTTCTCTTTCAGTAAGAAATATCCTTCTGCGTGCTTAATACATTTACCTTTGGCCAACTGAAGGCCAGTCTGGGGAAAGTCTCCTAGGACAGGTTACTGGAAGGCAAGCAGGTTGAGGGGGGGGTGGATGGCGCTCAAAAGGGAGGTTTTGGAGGCGCAAGCCTTGACAATACCTCTAGTTAGTAAGGTGGGGAGGCGGAGGAGAGCACCGCCATGATGCGAAAGGAGGTGGTTAGAGGGATTAGACAAAAGAGGAACCTCTGTAGGAAATGGGTACTGAGGCAAATAGACAGACAGGTATACCGGGAGGAGGAGGCCCGTTGCAGAAGGATTCTTCGCAAGGCTAAGGCGGATTACGAGCTGAGACTTGCCAAGAATATCAAGAGCAACAAAAAGGGCTTCTTTCAGCATGTAAATAGGAAGAGGAAGGGGAGACAAGTGGTGGGACCGCTAAATAAGGAGGAAGGCGATCCAGTGACTGATACGGGGGAACAGACACAGATGCTAAATGACTATTTTTCCTCTGTGTTCTCCCCAAAGCAGGACGGCGGAGATCCGCATACGGGATTAGATGATTAGAGTCACCCCCCCTTGAAGTCAAGGGGCTCCTCAGGGCATTGGACATTACAAAGGCGCCAGGCCCTGACAGGTTACACCCGAGAGTACTTAGAGAGTTGGCAGGGGTTCTCTCACGCCCGCTGGCCTCCATTTTTGAGACCTCATGGAGAACAGGTGAAGTTCCAGAGGACTGGAGGGTGGCATCCGTGGTCCCAATTTTCCAAAAGGGTAGTAGAAAGGACATGGGGAATTATAGACCAGTTAGCCTTACATCCATTGTAGGAAAAACAATGGAAAGGCTCATAATAGAGAGAGATCTAGTGATGCTAGACAGGGAAGGGAGGCTGGCAGCCACACAACACGGCTTCTGCAAAAACAGGTCCTGCCAGACAAACCTTGTGGAATTCTATGACAAGGTTTTGAGATGGCTAGATGGAGGGGATGCAGTGGATGTGGTTTACCTGGATTTCAGCAAGGCCTTTGACAAAGTACCCCATGATATCCTGGTGGAGAAACTGAGGAGTTTTGGGATACACCTAAGCACTGTCTGGTGGATTAGGGCACGGCTGACAGACCGAAAGCAGAGGGTAACCATTAGTGGGGAATCATCGGGATAGTGGCCAGTGACAAGCAGGGTCCCCCAGGGCTCGGTCCTGGGACCAATCCTGTTTAATCTTTTCAAAAATGACATGGAAAAAGGGGTGACCAGTTTGCTGATCGAATTTGCAAACAACAGTAAAACAGGAACAGTGGCCACAACTGAGGAGCAGGTACTCTAGATCCAGAAGGATCTGGACAGACTATGGAAGTGGGCAGGAGACAACAGGATGGCGTTCAGTGGGGATAAGTGCAAGGTCTTGCACTTGGGGCACAGGAATGGGCGTCATAAGTACAGGTTTGGGGACAAGTGGCTGGAGAGCAGCACTTGTGAAAGGGACCTCGGGGTGCTGGTTGACTGCAGGCTAAACATGAGTCAGCAGTGTGATGCGGTGGTCAAGAGGCCGACTGCCACCCTTGGTTGCATAGCCAGAAGTGTGGCTTCTAGATCGAGAGAGGTATTACTACCACTTTATATGACTCTGGTGTGCCTGCAGCTGGAGTACTGTGCTCAGTTTTGGGCACCTCATTACAGAAAGGATATAGCCAGGATAGAGTCAGTGCAGCATAGGGCCGCAAGGTTGGTGGCCGGTTTGCGGGGGTTGCCATATGAGGCGAGACTGAGGGAACTGGGTCTCTTCAGCCTGGAGAAGAGGAGACTCAGAGGGGATCTGTTGGCAACATACAGGTTTGTGAACAGATGACACACAGAGATGGGTAGAGACCTGTTCTCCCCTGCAGAGGAAGGCAGGACACACTCCAATGTAGCAAAGCTCAGGGAGCCAAGGTTCCATTTGGATGCCAGGAAGCACTTCTTGACAGTCAGGACCCCGAGGGTGGGGAATGGGCTTCCATGGGGGGTCGTTGAGGCCCCATTGGTGAGGATGTTCAAAGATAGGCTGGACATGCACATGGTGGGCATGTCGTGAGTGGAGCCGGCTGGTGCTGGAGGTCAGATTAGTTGGCCTGGGAGGCCCCTTCTGACTCACTCTGTTTCTATGTTTCTAATAATGCTTCACAGCCATTTATGCAGAATGTGTACAAAGCATTAAGCATTAAGTTTCACCCTCGCTAGATCCCCTCTAAAAAGTAGGTCTTTCACAGGCTTCTTTCCAAGCATGGATTGAAGAGGGAGTGCCTCTCTGACCGGAACAGGTGCTCTGCTCGCCAGCTGACCACAGGTGGGAACCTTAATTTCCACAGGCTGCCTGAGCAGGGGAATCGGTCAGCGGGCTCTCCCCCTCCCCTCAACCCCAACCAAGGCTAGCTTTTCCAGCATGCCCTTGCCCAAGGTGGCCCTCACCTCCCAAGAGGCACAGCAAGCAGGAGGCAGGGCAGAAAAAGGGCCCGGGGGGGGGGGTGGATCTCTGCTGGTGCAGTGAGCCATCGTTCCAAGTGGATCTATAAGAACCAGATGTAGCCCTGGCTGCTTGCACCAGGACAGCCAGGTCTCTGATCGCAGGATGCCACTCACCCGGTGATTGCTCCAGCCTCGCCCATGTTACATGGAAGGGTCTCCATGCCACGGTGCATATGGGGGCATGATGGTGTGGAGAAACACCATCTGTGTGAGCCAACCCTCAGTTACCAGAAATGTACTAATAACTAGTATTAGTGCACAGCATAAAGGAGTGATTCAGAAAATACAACTGAGCCCAGCCTACATGTTACATTCATTCCTACTTGTGTGTGTCTGGGTTTGGTGTAACAGCTGCAGGCACCCTACAACCAAGGGTGGGGCAGTGGCACAGGGGAAGGGAGTTAGCCATTTCCCCCTCGCTGCAGTCCCTATGACTCCCCCCCCCCAGCTGTTTCCCAGGGGGGCGAAAGGGAAAGCAGCTTTCCCCTCTGAGGAATGCCTCTCCTGCAGAAGGTGGTAGCGCTGGAGTGCAGGTGGATTATGCATGCACTATCCTGCTGGTTTTCCTGAGTTGGGGGGCAACAGTTAATTCCCAGCCTCAGCCCTGCTCTGGACTGCAGGGTCCTGAAGCTGCCACTCAGACAAAAGCAAACGCACATGAAAAGGTTTGTTGAACGCGGTGTCTAGCTTGGCCCTCATCCACTGTTCCTTCTCTCACTCTTCTTTCAGGAAGTGAAGAGCAAGCAGCTCATGGAGGGTTTTCAGCAGCCTTCTGTCTCAGCGCTGACCAGGTGGAGAAGAATGCTGCGGGAATACTGGATTGGCACCAAGCGCCCGCAGCCTTCCTGCATGACCGGGACTGCAAGCCTGCGCATGCCGGGTCACTGGGCAGAGGTCAGATGTCTCTGCTCCCTTCCTAGAAGGTTTGGAGTGGAGTGAGCTGCTAGCTTTCATCCTTCCTTGCAATTATATAGGGCAGAATTCCCCCTCCCTCAGGCGAGCAGCCAGCCTGCCACTCCGGATTCATTCAAATTATGCCAAAGCGTGAACTGAAGCACAGCCACGGGCCAGGCAAACGAGCCCTCAGTCCGGAGGTGCAGTGCTGCCTGTCAAGAGCAACAGTCTCTAGTGCTCGGGAAAGGTTTTGCTTCTAGCAGCCTGAAGATGAGAAAGATCGGGCGAGGGGACAATAAGGAAAGATAATGATTCCATCTTTGCAGAGGAAATGGCAAGTGCAATTAGAATCGCCATCTGAGTTGTGATCAAAATTCTGATTAATTGCTTACTGCTGTTTCTCAGAGAAGAAATTAGTGCATATCTAATTGGTTTTGCTGACATGCTCCCTGTGCCAAGTTTGCCCAAATTTAAGTGCAGAGAATGCTGCATCAGAGAAAGAGAGTTGCAAGTGGTGGGGAGGGGTGGAGGGGGAAGGAGCCATGATATTGATGACCCTCCTTGCAGGCGTGCATGCGCATTCGAAACCTGCCCGACGTATGCTTCTCTGTGTGCACGTCTATGGGGTATCCCTATCTCATGCCGATATCCATTGATACATTCTTGCAAATATGCTAGGACTGAGCTGAGGCTTCCCAGAGCTCATTTAGAAATGGCTTTGGCTGTTCACCAGCTATGGCCTCTCCTAGAGAAATGCGTTACATAAGTCCCGGTCAGATTTTTGGGGCACACTCTGTGTGGGTTACCTTTTGAATCCCAGGAAGAGGCTACAATGGGTGCACAGTTGGTATATGAAACAAGTGCAGGGGAATGTACTGTGCCAGCATCTAAAACCAACACTGGTGGCCAGTTTATTTCTGGACACTGCAAAGGCCTTCACCTTCATTCCAGGACCTGGACCCTTGAAGACTGCCTGCTCCCACATAAACCCGCACAACCCTCAGAACATTCCTCAGAGGCGCCCATCGGGGGATGAGCAATTTCATCCGCAGTGCCTTGCCTCAGGGCTGCCCTTCTTCTGTCCATTTGCCTGGCTCCTTCACTCTGATCTTCAGAAGAGACCAGATGTCTCTTTTTGGCCTCCTCCATGCATCCACACAAATTATTGCAGTGATATGGTTGTATTTAGGTGCCCTGTGAATCATTAAGATTACAAGGAAGAATACCAATATGCACAATGAGTAAATACAACAGTTTTGAATTTTCATGCTCAAATGAGCATTTAAAAATGTATTAAAGAATTGTACTTTTAATAGCAATACAAAAATCCAGCTTGAATAGGCGATTGCCGTTGCAGCATCTCCTGGAGCAGGAGCACTTGACTCTGATCTACCCTGCACCCTGCTGTGTTCAGCATTCAGCAGCTGGCTGTGGAGGATATATAAAATACATCCCTCTGATCGTTGGCTACGGGAAACAGTGCTTGACAATGGGAAAGTGCCAGCCATAGTCATGCTTACTCCGGGGCCGTCTTAACAGCATTACGGGCCCCGGGCAAAGCAGTGTACTGGGGCCCCTACGACAACTACAACTACTGTCAATTTTGAAGTTTTCCGATCTTGCGAGGGTTAACATGCACAGATTAGGATGGGCCCACAGGCAAGTTCCCCTCAGGCCCATGCGTGAAGATGGCCCTGGCTTACTCACTGGTTCATGGTCCTTGCTTGTTCCCTATTTCATTATCCTTCCCTCAAATAGCAAACTGTGCCTGTCACTCCAAAGCAGAACCACTGAGAAGCAAGAGCAAAAGTACTGGCATGGTTGGGGAACTCTCAGCATTGCAAAAGCACAAAAGAGGTGCTGGTATTAGCAGCCAAAGTCCTAAATTCCTTTGGGCAATATTACCTGAAGGACTGTATCCGCCTGTGCTCTTCCTCAGCAGACAGTTGGCCAGAGCTCCTCCCAAGGGAAATCACTGAGAAGAGGGCCGTTTCTGCTGTGGCACTCCAGCTATAGAATGAACTTCCCAAAGAGGCTCGCCTGGTAATTCCGTTGGACTCTTTCTGGCACCAAAAAGGACTTATTCCCCCTAGAATTTTCAATCTGTTTTGAAGTCTGCATCATATTTTAAACCTCTGTACTGCTGTTAGGTCTTACTCTCGTTTGTACTTCTATTTTATACTGTAGTTTTAACCATTTAATTTTTAAATACTGTATTTCTTGTTATATTTTATATTTTGAAATGTTAATTTTTTTAAATTGATGTGAATCCGTAGAAATTTGGCTATTGGATGGTATACAAATATAATAAAATATATAAATAAACGTTAAACTACACAGTGAAGACAGAACAGGTTTAGTGGTCACAGATTGCTGTGTCTGTGAGGTGCAGAGGGCCAATGCAAGGCAGGGTGGGATGGGATGGGATGGGGTGGCATGGAATGGAGTATGCTGGAAGAGGGCATGGGATGGCTCCACACTGGAACATTTTGTTGCGAGTCCCACTTTGCAGAGCTCTCCTGGTGAGTTGAAGTTTTGTTTCCTTGTTTTTATATTGGATTGTTTTACCTTGTTCCTGGTTTTAAAGTGTGAGACTGATTTTGGTATTTGGACTGCTTTTCTTGAATTGTTTTACTTTTGCTGCATATATAGCATGTTGATGTCTCAGTGAGGAAAAGGAAACTGGAAGGAAGAATTAGCCTGCTTGAGTGCCAGTCAGCTTAGGATAACTAATCCTGGGTGAGAATTAGAGTTATGGCATTGTGTATTACTTTCATTTATTTTATTATTACATTTATTACCTGACGCTGCCCCCCACAAGGAACCCAAGCTTGCTTATGCGGTCTTTCTCCTCCTCATTTTATCTTCACAACAATCCTGAGAAATGGAGTAGGCCAAGAAGCAGAGACTGGCCCAAAGTCACCCAGGGTATTTTATGTTCAGGTCTAAAATATTCATGTCTACGACTGGTACCCCATTCCAAATCTGAGCCCTCTAGTGTTCTGTCACCAGAATGGTGCATAAAAAGTACCCTCCCCATGCCCAAGTGCCCTCTATCCTAAGAGCCTTAAATACACTGCAATACTCTGTTCAGTGGTGAGTTAACAGCCATCAATAATTCTGTGGCAATGTCCTTTACAAGCGCCAGAAACATAAATACAGGCTTGTGCTGTATTTGGATATAATGTTCAATATAATGAACAATATGATTTTTTGACTGAATTAATATGTTGAATCTGAATTCTGGAAATCCTCTAGATTAAACATCTAAACTTGACTTCAAATCTTGAATTCTGAAACACTTTTAATACCAGGGTGGGCTTGGGGACACTCTTAACAATTAAGTTCAGCATCCTATGAAAGAGGATTACTGACTTTTCCTTAACATGTGTTGATAGAAAGTATAAGGCACAGGTTCTTTCATCTGAGATAAAATGTACAGAAAATCACACAAGGTAACCCACCAACAGAGCAAACTTTGGAATGCACATCTGGAAGCTGGTGCTAGCTCTTTGCACTGGTATTGCTTTCAGAGAGATGCATCCAAACTTGCATCCTCGTCCACATTCTAGTGCAACTGGCCACAAATAAGTACTTTTAAATGACTACAATTACACTTGAGTGTAAGTTGTCTACCCATTAGGTGTATTTAAAGTAACCTTAATAGCTTTTCTCCTTGCAACAGAGAAAAGGAGAATGAAATTCAAGCTGCTTTATAAGTAACAATCTTTCTTTTTTTCTTGTCTTGTGAATTAATTGTTAAAGAATTTGTTTTAGATTAATGGCCTGCTAGCTGCTTGGGGTGGTTTTGGTTTGTTTTTGTTTTCTTTTGCTCCTCAGATTTTGCTCTTTTCCTTCAGATGTTCCTCCCCAGTATTCAAATTTATTTCTTAATCATGGCCATTTAACCCTGGAAGGAAATAATGTTCTGTGATCAATCAATAATTACTTTTGTTTTCCGGTACCCTCTCTCTCTTATCGCTCTAATCTTCTATAGTTGTCTCTTTCCCCTTCCAGACAGCTTTATTAAATTCAGATACCTCCTTAAGAGCCCTCCTCGCCTGTGTGCTTCTTCTGGTCTAACTGCCTTACAGTGCAAAAAAATAAAAAGGACCACCGCCTGCAGATTTCCATTCCCATTGCTGTCTTGCAGCAGAACTGAGCTCATTTCCCCACTGCACTCTCTTTAACTGGATGCAGCTTTGCTTACTTCGAACCAGTGGGAAGAAGAACAAGCTAGGAGCAGTCAGATTCTGTTTCTGGCATTCAAATCAAACCTAAACCCTATTTAGGCATTTTCCCTCCACAAGCAACACTGCAGAGAGACGGAACATGGTGGCAAAGCCGGCACCCCTGACTTGCTGTCAGGTCCCCATCTCCTGGCCCCACACGCTGGGGGAAGACCTGAGTGGGAGAAGCCTGCTGAACATGCATGGTGGCGACCTGTGACCCTCGACCCTCACCATATCGGGTGTAGGCTATTCCGTGTTCTCTCCAGTGCCTGAACTGTGCAGCAACATTCCTATCATTATCACTTGGAGCAGGGATCCAGTCTTTTAAAAGTTTGTTTAATGCATATACCAGATTACATGCTGTGCAATGCTTCAATCACATATGTCTACCCCTTTCAAAAATGCTTATTACAGAAAAAAATATCACTTTTTACTAGAAAACTATTCCCACCATTTGTAATTGGCCTGTAGTCTGATTTATATTGCAAAAGTTTCACTCTCTTATTTGCTTTTTGTGAGAGCACGGGGGGAGGGCAGTGGGTGGGGGGGGGGAGATTGCTGAGAAGCGGGATGAATTTTTTTCATCAGTCTTCACAGCAGAAGATAAGCCCAACCCTGTCCCTGAGCTTATGTATTCTGGAAGGGAGTCCAAGGCATTAAGGCAGATAGTGGTGACAAAAAGGGAAATTCCCAACCTAATTGACCAACTGAAGGCCAGCAAGTCACCCAGTCCAGATGGTCTCCATCCAAGAGCCGGCAAAGAACTCAAACATGAAATCACTGAACTCCTTACCAAAATATTCAACATGTCCCTAAAATTAGCCCTTGTACCAGGAGATCGGAGAATGGGCAATGTCACATCAGTTTTTTAAAAGGGGTCCAGGGGGAGTCTGGGAAAGTACAGGCCAGTGGTGGTTTTGAAAAAGGGATTGGGCTGGTTCCTGAAGGAGGAGGCTGCCGGTGGCTACCAGCCGTGCTGGCTGTGTGCTGCACCCTTTAGCAGAGGGGGCCTGCCTGCACGCACCAGTTGCTGAGGAGCCTGGGCTGGTGCAGGTCTTGCATGCCTCCTGCTTGAGGGATCCCGTGGCAGCTGGCTTGCCACTGTGTGAATGGAGTGCTGGACCTTTGGACTGATCCAGCATGGCCTTTTTTATGTTTTTCTTTTTATGTTCTTAGAACAGAGATTCATGCAGATTCAGTTCTCAGATGCTAAGCCTCTGTTAATCCTTCCTTGGCAAACTATGGATAACTGCAGTCCCCTTCATATTTAGACAGGTCTGACTTGCAATCAAAGCTCTGCTTGATCAATGAAAATATGTCTTGGGAGCTTCTCTGCTTTCAAAGGTAACTGCGTCTCTGTGATGGTGATACTGCATGTTTATGCAGTATGATAAACAAATGGACCTAACTGATGTAGTTTTAAAAATGCTCCAAGCTTTCTTCACTAATGGTCCAGATTAAAAAGATATTATCAGTGAAGTACTACCATGGGAGTGGATTACTTTTTAAAGATGGTTTCTTCTCGTTTGTCCACAAAGACATTGGTGTAAGCTGGAACTATGCATGGACTGGCGTGTGATATGATTCTCCTTCCTTTCACCGATTGTTACGGAACCATTACTGATATAGACTTGTTTCTTAATAATACAGCCTTTGGATGCCATCCAACTGTGATGTCTGTGGCCCTTCAAACTCAGAGGATTGCAGATACAGAGAGTGGGAGAAGTACAGAGACAAACGTTTCCTCCAGTACCATCCTGAAAAGCACTGAGCCAATTTCGCCCAACTGCGTGGCACTTTGGAATGGGAGAGTGGGAGGCTGAAGCACAACTTGGACACATCATGCCTTGGTGGCACCAGTTTCTTCCCCCTGCACCACCCAAAATGTCCATCTCTGAGGTCACTCTTATGATCCAGGGGACACAGTCAGTGCAGATCCTTCTGTGCTGGCTATAGGTGGGTGAGACGGATCTAAGCACAGCTCCCCAGCTACAAGATGGGACTGGTTTTCGGCCTTGTAGCTGGAGACCCGAGCAACTGTCTGACTGTCTAGAGGCTGTCTAGTGGACACAGGGTATGACTGGAAGGGGCCAAGGAGGCCTTCAGGTCCAAACCCCTCCTGGTGCAGAACGCCAAGTCACAGCATCCCACTCAGCTGACTGTCCAGTTTTGCCTTGAATGTCTCTAGTGTGGGACAGCCCACTTTTTGCTAGTTTTTTTAATTCAGGATATCACAGGACACCTTGCTGAATACTTTGTTAAAGCCTAGGTAAATTATGTCCCATTTCCTGCTATCCATTTGCAATGTTACCCAGTCAAAAATTGAGATTAGGTTAGTTGGGCATGACTTACTCTTAAGAAAGCCATGCTGGCATATGCATGATAGCTTCACTTGCATAGATTTTTTGTTCCCACAAACAAACAAATCTGGAATTTAGGTCTCTCATTCTGCCACTGACAGCTGTCCAGCTGGG